ACAACGAGCATACAGGCGAGCACGCTGGGGGCGGAAGCCAAGCCAACAGGGTCGTCGTGGCTTCTTCGACAGCAGGCAGAAGCCCTTGGTGGGAGTTGACCCGCTTCCGAGGAGCGCTCATCTTCCGCGGTGCACCGCCGACTCGGCGGCTAAAGACCCCCTCCGAGGCACCCCCCGCACACGCGTCTTCTCACAGAGTGACGCCGCCCTGCACGAGCGTTGCCCAAGGAGAGCCACCCACGCGAGTGGTTCAATCAAGGCAGAAGCTCGCAAATTAAAAAAAAAAGAAAGTGAATAGGGAGATTGTATTGCAATTAAATGCAAAGGTGCAAGCGAGCTGCGCAAGAATAAAGAAAATAATCCCTGGAGAAGGGGAACGAGAGGGGAACAAGAAGATGAACAGGAGACATCGAACCAGACTTGCTCCTTTGCCCTGTCTCTTAGGCCCAGGGTTCCGTGTTTTACGGGGTTATTCTGTTCTTTGAATACACGAGTGCATTTTATTAAGCTTATTTTTGTTCTTTCGTCCTTTTTCCTCCCACAGATTTGGTGGTTTTTCTTGCCAATGTCTGGTGTTGGACCAAAACGAAAAAAAAAAACGAAAAAAATAAAAGCTTTATAGCTTCTTTTTTTTTAAGAAAGGTTCAAACCAAGATTTTATCTTTTTTCAGTTTTCCCTAATTAAACGAAAGAGCGCGTTCCTTTTTTTTTTTTTTTTTTTGGGGGGGGGGGGGGGGGGGGCTATTGCTACATACCCCCCCCCCCCCCTCCAAAAAAAAAAAGGAAAAACGGCGTAATCATATACTCTGTTTCACCTTATGATGTACCGCAGGCAAGGCTACAAGCGCGAGCTCCTTGCCAGAGCATACCTCGGCGGCACGAGCTCTCGTGCATTAAGGGCAGCTGCCAACGCTCTGACCTCGTGCTTCTAGCCTTCGCATGCGGTACAACGTAAAGGCCCGTTCACACTCTTGCGACTGAGTACGACCGAGAAAGACCAGACCGGATTTTAAGCCTCTTGCGACCTCTTAGGACCAGCTCCGCTGCAGTGCATCCGGTCCTAAGAGGTCGAAAGAGGCTTAAAAACCGGTCTGGTCTCTCTCTGTCGTACTCGGTTGCAAGAGTGTGAACGGACCTTAAAGGCGCGTTCACACTCTTGCAACCGAGTACGACCGAGAAAGACTTCTTGAGACCGGATGCGCTGAGCGGAGTTGGTCCTAAGAGATCGCAAGAGGCTTAAAAACCGGTTTGGTCTCTCTCGGTCGTACTCGGTTGCAAGAGTGTGAACGGGCCTTTAGGTGAAACGAAGTATAGCAGTGACCCTCTCTTGCAGCGTACGCCTCGCAAAAGCACGAGCGGGGGGAGAGCTCTTTCAATGTGCCAAAGAACAAGCCTGCCGTTCTTCTAGTACGCTCGCTAGTACAAAAAAATAGAGTCCAGAAGCTTCAAAACCTACAGATAGAAACAAGAACGTCGGATTTCACAGTTCACGCACTCCGTTGTGCAAGAACCGAGTTTCAGCACTCGGCAGTGGTTGAAGTTTCAAAACACGTGTCGCTGACTTTGCTCTTCATACTCTTACCGAAGACATGAAAGTAGAATCATGTTACAAACATTTACTTGAACCATATATCACAATGATATATGCCAGACACTAGACCTTGAAATTCCCATACAATAAAAAAAAATATGATTGGATTAAAGTGGCAGGGTCACAGGATAAAAGAAAACCAGAGAAAGTGTCTGACTCAGACAAATAAGACACAACAATAAAAAAAAACGCGAAAAAAACAGGACGGGTTTCATCTGATGCTTGACATGCGAAAGCAACACCAAACAGTCAACGCGACACAAGACAAAGCAAGCGACGGGGCCGCTCGACATTTGCCCCAGGAAGAAACTGTTTTCTACGCACTCCCGTCTTGGGACCCAGAAAACGCGTCGACTTAAAAAAACAACAACAACGAAAAGTAAAGATAGGCGCAGAAAGCGAGAATGCCACGGAGGGCGCAAAGGGAGCAGACGACAAGGCGCGCATACCAGACGGCCAACAATGGCCATTGTCTTCTCGGTCGAGCCAAGCCGCACCGAGAGCCAGAAGTAGCCACTTCGAACCCAAGTGCGAAACTCACCGCTCTCAGGTATACCGTGTCAAAATTACGACGAGAGAGGTAGAAAGAACAAAATAATACAGATAACACCAAAGCAACCACAACAAATTAAAGGGAAAGAGGGAGAGAGATACAACGGAGGAGAGACGACGGACTGTTCCGCGTGCCTGGCGTTCTCACGAAAACGTGTCTAACTCAAAGGGACTGAAAAATTTTGTCCAGTGTTGTTGCGCGCTTCGTTATATCTCTACGTTCGCCCTGATTGTCGCGGTGCTTTTCGGAATGGAGGTGAAAGCTATCACGTGAGCGTGTTGCTGTTTCGCTCGAGTAGGTTCTATGACACGAAAGCGCATTCAAAGGACGCGATGAGTGCCGTGACTGGTGTCGTTCCGTACGTTAGAGATAGTTGACGGGTGAATGGGGAAGTTTGCTCGAATAGACATCACGGTTGACTGCCCCCAGTTGAACGAGTACGCGGGGAAGGAAGAGAGAAAGGAGAATATGATGGATCCGCTGTCTCCTCCGTTGACGCTAATTGAGCTGTGACGTCCGATAATCAGTTAACGAGAATGCGGTTGTTAGTGTAATTTGTTAGCTCAGACTGCGTTTATAGGATGGTTTTGCCGTCCGGCTATACAGCACAGCCGCAATGTTTGGCACGGAGCTTTCCCGCTAAATGTAGCGGGGAAGTTAGACGCAGAATGCGTTGTGTGTGAGCAACATCAGCTAAAAGACAAGGCCTGCGTACGACGTCATCATTAGTGGATCCCCGACCCACTCCAAGCGGCCAGAAATCGATACACACCTAAATGTAAACAGGCGCCGAAACGCGAAAGGAGCCAAGACACACACAAGCGAAGCTCAATCTGCGTAGTTGTAATCGAGATAAGTTGTTATTAGTTTCGTCCCCTGACTCCTCTATCGTGCACATCTCATATGTGCGTGCACTGCAGGACGATCCGAAACACAGACTCCAAACACGCGTGCAGGTTCCAAACATATCGGCCGTGAAAACATTCGGGCAAACAGTTCGTTGAATAAGAACAAACGCGAGACATCAAACGTTTTTGCTTTGTCGAATTTGGAACACACAACCGCGCAGCTAACGCGGTGACGGTCGTTACGTGACAGCGTATAACGCAAACGATGCTCCTCGCGTACCCATTGTGCAGTCCACTCTAAGATGCAATCCCGGAAATAACTATAAGGGGGCAAAGGTACGCTTAAAACCGGAATAATAATCACGGACCATTTCTATTACGGGAGGATCCTACAAATGTTCGCGGTGCTAGACATGTCCGGGCACACAACGGACGCGCTCAAGTCATTAGAAGACCAACTGGCGCATGCGAGCACGAGACTGCGCGAGATTCGTGCACTCGCCGATTGCAAAGGCTACTACTACGTGATTCCATAAACGGACCGACACGTTTCTCGCCGGATCATCACGCCGGAAGGAAGTTCGGCTGCCAAGCTTTTGCCACGCGCGTTGGCTTCCTCGGGAGACAGGTTACCGGAACCAACTTCCGGCTCCTTGTACCGGTTCTCGGAAGAACGCGGAACACTCAAAATGCGCGGGGGAGTTTCCGCTCCATTATGCGGCGAACATGGTCACCGACAGTGCGACATACAAACTCATCCGTGGAGATTGAGTAATTACGCGAAAGCGCGTCCGCGCAACCCGCTCCTCCATATCGAAACTGACAGCAATTAGAATTCAACACACGACCCCTGCGCTGAGGCGCTCACTTTTCTCCGTAGTGAAAGCACGCTGAATGCGACTGCGTACTTGCCAAGGTGTAAAGGACAATCGAAGCTCTGATCAATCCTCAGCAGCCTTCACCCACGTCGTCACGCATATGCGTCGAAAGACAACTTATAGATTCCATTCTTTCCCGGAACACGCGCGACGGTCAGACATCACAGCTAGGTGGCGCAAGACGCCGCCCAATTCGAGGGAATTAGCTGCGTGCATCCATCCAATCATTCAGCCACCCATAAAAGAGCCGTTAACCTGCACCGCAGAGAGTTCTTTGCCAGCGCACCCTTGAAAGAGAATAAGAGATATATCAACGCAGTTGTTCATTCACAGCTTTCCCGTCCTTATCGCGACATCGACTCCGAAAGAGAGAGATAGAGAGAGAGTAGCCCGGGGCCCTAATCCAATTGGGGGCGCCTGCAGCGCGTGTGACACTTGAGTGGGCACAGTAACCGGTTCGTTTGCCTCAATTTCTCCTTTTTCACCGGTGACACCCACAGCGACGCGCTGTCACTAATTGGTTCCTCGTTTTCAAACGTGGCTCGGCCGCTCAAAGCCAACTTAGCCAAGGCAAACCTGACCTCGAGTGTAGAAACACCGAATAAGCTCCCGGAGTAGCCACACCTCAGCCGTCTTGCTGCTTCAAATACTCCTTGCCAGTTATTCGAAGCTTGGTCTCAAATCGCAGGAAAGATTTTCCCTCCTCCAGAAAAGTCAGCGTCACACCAAACGATATCTGCTGGCTTTCCTAACACCGCATCTAGAGGTGAAGAAGTCGCATTTTCGAATCATACGAATCGCCAACTGCGCGCGAGTCTGGACTGGGAAACAAGATGGCGGCGCTCTTAAAAAGAAACGGAAGGGGAACAAGTGACGATACTCTAAGCTTATTAGTGGCTTTAGTTTAGACCTGTAACAAAACAAACAACGAAAATCCCCTTTTGATTTTATGTTGACCCGAATACCACTTTATTACGATACTTTTCTGAAAACGCACTCTTAAAAATTGTTTGTGAGAAATATATACAGACATTGTCCCGGACGTGTTAATAAGTAAAAGAAACGAATAAAATAAAATTTGGTACAACGCTGAAGACATCAGCCATTATAAAGTCGAAGCACATACTCACCGAACTGTGACGTCACGTCCGGTCTCCCGAAACGGGTGAGGACGACACCAACTGCCAGGTTCGATTCTGGGTGGAACAGACAAATATTATAAGTGTTAATAATAAATAAATCGAGGCGTACTTCAACGCGATAGCCGAAGTCGGAAGACAAAACGACAAAGAATGCTGCTCATAACTCTGTTTTTATTATCAAAGTGGTTCCGTTTTCCTATGGTGCTTAGAACGCGCGTTTCCGACCGGTGCGTTTACCGCGTCGTAAAAACGTTGTCCCTCGATTCCCACCTGATGACGTCATTGGAGTGTTCAGGCCCGTTCAGACTTGCGCCTGCAGCGACGGTAAATGCGGCAGACGCCTGTTTTGCTGCAGGTCGCCCTCCAGCTTCGCGTTCCACGGAAGCCTCGGCAGCCAGAAGTTCGGACTCCCGACGACAGTGACACTCCCGACAATATGACACGCCTGGATGTATGTTAATGGCAGCTACCGCCCTTTTTAACGGGCGGCAACTTCCGCCACCTAGCCTAAATCTAAAAAGACGAACATACGATTCCTCCTGCCCTCATTTGTTGCCATTTCGGCACCACTTTCGTTGAATCCGCGGGACGGGATGCTAAAGGTATGCCGGTCGAAGTTTAACAAAGACTGCCCATCTGATATCCGTTGCCTGCACGTCGCGGGGCAATAACACGTTGCTTGTCGTTCGATCACCACGGGATATTAACCGACTGCTTGCGATGATTAAAAAAAAATATATTAGTTGCGTATTTACACGCGAGCATTCTGTCGGCACAACAGTAAAGGCCGCGGTTCACACGTACGGCGCAGGGCCGAATCGGTGCCGGAAAACGCTGCCTACGATGTAGCTCTGACCTGCACGTGACTTATCGCCGATGGAGCGCTAACAACTGCTGAACCGACAGCGCGGTCCAGCGTCAGCGTCTTTTCCAGCGTTGGTGTCGGCGTCCGAAATGCCGATCTTTGATTAACTCATCAGGAGGTGCTCGACTCCCATAACCTCTCGAGGACGCCGACACCAGCAAGCTTTCATAGAACGTGAACAGCGCCTGCAGCTCGCGTCGCTCACGAAAATCGGCCCACAGAGGGCGCTTATGTCAAGCCGCCCTATCGCGCGACAACGCGTCACCGGGCGTTGATGCTCACGCCCTGTCATTAACTGTAATTATCGTTCGCTCCTTCTCTATTTTCTCTCGATATCTCACTTTCTCTCTTTTGCACCGCAGCCTGTTTCTTTTCCTTAATCTATATATACATATATTTAGTTTGTCGGCGAGCTCTTATGATGAACCCGAGTAGGCATTCAGTGCGCACCTACGGTTCATCACCCTCTTGGCGGAAACCTCCCCGTCTGAGACGCTCGATGTGGGTACTACGTTTGTCCAAAATTAAGAAAGTGTCCCGCTTACAAAAGTGTCCAATATCGGACAAAATTTTCCGTTGGCGACCAGTGAATAGAGTCTACTTGTTGAGCTGGTCAAGCTGTTTTGCACAGATTTTTGTGCACCTTGTCCTCCACCAACGTTGCATTTCTGTCGAAATCTGAAGCCACCGTCACACTGCTAATTCATCGTAGGAAATAGTCTGCAGAACATGTTTGACAAGGCATGTCTGGTCATACAGAAACTGTCTGCGGACATGTTCATGCATGAATCAAACATGATTCGAACACGCGCGAGGCGTTTCCGCACATCATTTTGTGAGGATGTCTCCAGCAAACGCCGTGTCTTTTGCATGATGTATGAACAGTGGGACAGCGGCTTAAAGAATATAACGCCACGTTACTTAGTACAGGTGTGTTTAACTTCGGAAGTTTTCCCAGCAACAGTCTTTCAATGTCACTCAGTACGTTCAAAAAAATTCAAACTAAATAAAAAAAAAAAACGCCAGAAACGTATATATTTTTTCAGCCTACCAAAAACCCCCTAAAGAAGTTAAAGAAACAATAAAAAGTCACCTGCGGCCGAAGAATCCCCGGAGAACCACACACACACACACACGAAGATACAAGTCGACACACACGGAGACACGCCGTTCCAACCACCACCCGAATTCACGCCGACACCGAACCAGCAACGATTCGTCTCACACGAGCAGCGCGATCGACACGCCGCGGTGCCGGTGACGAATCACCAACGCTCGGAGCAGTCACATTCACCGAAGTGCGCGCGCACACACCCACACACCTCCAGCCGCGTATGCTTCTCAAAAAAAAAAAATAAATAAATAAATAAACGAAGCACCGTTTCAGTAGTTGCACGCCGCGAACAAGTTTGTGACGTCCACTTTCTCGTCCCTTCGAATCGACCACGGACTGACAACCGCGCAAGTTGCTCGAAAGCTAATCCGGAGGGGGACAGTTTCCAAGACGGTCCCCAAGACGCGCCCCCGCCCTGCCACACAAACACGGAGGGAGGGTGATCCCTGAGCACACCTGAGGGGGGGATTCCTGGTATAGGGGGGGTTCCTGAGTGACTCCCCTAAAAACCCAGAGGGAGGCCAGCCGCACGCCGCGAACTCGGGCAACGCCGCCACCGAAGAGCCCCCGCCGACTTCTGTGAACTGAGCGGCGGCGAGACCTCTTGGGGCGATTGGGGTCGCTCTCAACAGCTGTTGGGAGAGGAGGACGCAGGAGGGGGAAGAGACATACGAGGGGGAGATGCTGCTGGGATGATGATGCTCGCTCCTTTCCATCCGGATGCTTTGTCGCTAAATTTAGCGACGACTGCAACCCCTCGAGCCCGCAGTCACACTTTTCCCATATTATACAAAAGACGCCATTGGATCGGTGGCCGAGTCGGAGAGCGCACACCGGCTCGAGCGCATGGAGCGAAAGCTCGCGCTGCAAGAACCCAGAATCCGGGGCTCAATCCCCATCCCTGCCAATCTGGATGAGCATCGTACCGGCGTGCGGTCGTGTATCACTGCTGCATAGTGATGCGCGTTAAAGACCCCAGGCTAGAGGTTGCAGTGCACTCGGTAGGTTTCTCATCTACAGCTGAGAGACAAGTGGCCTCTCGAGGCTGAGCGACTCCTTGCTGTATAAACATACACACGACATAATTAATTACAAAAAAAAAAAAAAAAAGGAAAAAACGCGGTGCTCGCTGCAGTGTCGTGTTTCGACGATAACGTTAACGCCAGTAAGAAAAGAGGAAAAGATGGCCGAGGAACGCGGGCACGAGAGAACCAGGAGAGATTCGGAGCTGACCAGCGAGCCGGCGACGGCCAGCCACGGCGGCCACTTGAATCCTGGACCGTCCGCGTCATGATGCCAAGGTGCTGACTCCTGGCGAACCCCGTCGCCCCGTACTTCAGGGTTGCGCACCTGCAACCCTGAAGTTGCCATTCTCTTTGGTTTGTTCGCTAGTTTCATTTCGGATTTACTTTCTTCACCGTAATTATTTCTTCAGCTTTGACTTTTCCGACTTATTGGCCCCGGTGTGTTCTCTGTTTCACCTGCAGCCGTCACAATGTGTGGCAGCATTATCTATTTGCGCCTCAAACACGTTCGAAGACTGTTTTTGCTTCATACACACTTTTAACAGGTCTGCAGACAGCATGAACAATGTGACCGTCATACAAGATACGCCTCAGACAGTGTTGCCAGACCGTCTTTTGTATATTGCATTGACCGCAGCATATAGGATACAGTTGTTTCTGCTGTCGTTGCTCTGGAAGGAGATTCTACGGCGTTTCAGCAAACAACAATCCACTATATATATATATATATATATATATATATATTGGATTGTTGTTTGCTGAAACGCCGTAAAAAAATATATATATATATATATATATTTTTTTTTTTTTTTGTATTGCACGACATTTCAAAGTACTCATACATTCATGGCATAACTTGAAATAAATAGTTCCAAAAAGCGCTTGGACAGACAAACGCTTAAAGCCATTTCAGTCGACCCGTACACCACATATCCGCCGGAACCCCCTTAAATACATTTCGTGAACAAGGGTACGATTATCAATACCTCTATACCAAAAAAAAAAAATATTGCAGGTCAATTTTTGTGTCGATTTCGCTCGTACGCGGTTTTGGCTGATTCGTGGATTGCGTGCTTTAGAAGCGTGCCGTGTCTTAGAGAAGACCAAGTCCTCAAATTCTCTTCGCACCGCTTGCGTGCATGCACTTTCTTGAGTGAGCGTTTAAAATGCAATCCTCGAGCGCAAATTACATTTTGAACGAACATTAAAAATAATGTCAAAGTTTTTTTTTCTTCTTCAGTGTATGGCTTTGATTGCAACGAGGGTGAGCTATTTCATTCATTTTATGTGATTCTTGTCTGTGGTAAGGTACTTAAAAAAAATTTTAAAAAAAGTCCTCACTAGGAATTAATTGTGTCCTTCGTATGGTTGCTACAGGGCGTCAATGGCGTTAGCGCTATACGTGCTGAAACCGTTCCTCGGCTGCAACCAGGATATAGCGCTACCAATGGAGAAGACAAAGTTTGCAGGGTCTGTAAAAGTTTGCTGAGCACGTTACCTCTGCTGGTATCCGATAAGGGTTGAATCTCCTCTCGGACACATAGAGACGACCACCTACAGGTGGTCATTGTCAAGTGTAATTTCTTAAGCCTTATGCTGTATGTGCCGAGCGTGAGTCGCTTATCTAGAATATGAGATCGGCACTTGGTTGGTCGTATACTGTTAATACAAATTAACATCGAGCGCGAAAGTTTAAAAATAACTCATGTCCACGCTAGATCCTCATAATAATGGAAGAAATATATAAAAATTGTAGCCACAAGAAAATCGCAAACATTCATAAAGTAAGCTAACAGGGTTGATGAATTTGAACAATATGTAGTCTAGTTTTACTTTCTAGCTTTTTCTGGTACTCTGGCTGGCTCAAAGTGGATTGCTGACAGCTCGGCTTGCCATGGATTGTGGACGGATTTTAGAGGAGCGAGTGTACGTGCCGGGGTCCCCCTCTGCCAATAGAGCACGAAGACAGTTCAACAGTCGAGGAGCTAGGCGTGCGAGTGGTAGTGTCTGTGACGTCACTACTTCCTCGTGCTCCGTATTTCTTTTTATT